TAACCATGTACTTCTGGAAAGCCATCATACATACACAGAAGCATCCAATCATCCTAAGATTTCTGGGCTCTAGTGAAGGGTTGGCAAACTATGGTCCAGGGGCCAAATTTAGCCCACTGCCATTTTTTGTATAGCCATGAATTAAGAAAGGGCTTTAAAAAATGGGGGAAAAAAAGAATTATATTTATGGACACATGAAAATTATATTAAATTCAAATTTCAATGCCCATAAGTGAAGTTTTATTGGAGCAAGGCCATCCTCACTTATTATGTTTTGTCTGTGGCTGCTTTCACACGCCAATGGCAGGGTTGAGCAACTGCAGCAGAGACTGGATGGCCTGCAAAGCCTGAAATGTTTACTGTCTGTTGCTTTACAGAAACACAAAGTTGCCAAGCATAGCTACATAAGTGGCTTTGCTATGGGCACTGATGAAAGGAAGTTGGGTGCCACTTGCTCCAGTGAGAACTATGTGAGGGAAAGTGTAGAACATTCAGTTCTGTTAAAAAGGAACAACTCGGATAATGTAACAGTGAGCAGAGATCTCCGCAGTCCCCAAAAGCTAGGACACTGGAGCAACTCCGTTTCCACACCTGACATCGTCACATTTTGTGTTATTATATACATTATTAACTTTGATGCCTTCCTGTATTTGTACAGGGCAGCCTGGTGGCAGGTGGGTTTCCCAGATGATGGGCTCCACCACGGCAGGGGAGCCTCACTGGCAGCGCCTCTGAGAAAGGTTGGCTAGCCACTGGCTACGTTTTTATCTTCCTTGATATTTCTCTGCTGAGATTTTTTTTATTATTATTATTATTTTAGGCCTGGGATAGGCTCCAGAACAAGTCACATTCTTGAGGAGCATCAGTGTCCCTCTCGAGTCAATGAAAGGCAAATCTGTGCCTCTAACACCACAGCCCTGCTGCACAGCCGTCAGGAGAGGCCCCCAAGCCCCGACCCCTGCCTCCACCGTCAACTGCATACGCTAAATGTTTTAGTTTCTTTCCTTGGTGTTTTTCTTTCTGTATGCCTCTTTCCTCCCTTCTTCTCTCCCTTTTTTCCCCCTCTCTCACTCTAAGTACAGATTTTGAAATCTGATAGACCCAGATCTAATCTCAACATTGCCACCAGTAGCTGTGCTTCCTTGGGTAAGTCATGTAGCCTCTCTGAGCCTATTTCCTCACCTCTACATTAAAGATAAGAGCCATCTTGAATATTTTTTGAAGTTCTTGGCAGTATGTCAGAATTCAATATATTTTCAATACATGGCAGCTGAATGATTGGCTAAGTATATATAGAGATATAGGTATAGATATATCTATTGCTACACAGAAAAGGCTTAATAAACACTTGGATGAATTACTGCTCCCTATCATGAGCACCTATCAAACACAACTCCATGATTAGCTCTATGCTCAAAATACAGAGCCTTAAAATGAGGTGAAGCACACAAAAATATTTACTTCGTCAAGGAGCCCCACACATCTGCATGGCCAAGATCTAGGACACAATGTGACAGATTAGAAAGTTCTTATTGTCACATATGACACACAGTATCCAATATATCCTGACTGAATTGATCCAAAATCTAGACCAAAAAAAAAAAATAATTTCAAATGATATTTTTAAAATACTGGTGAAGATGAAAACTGGAGGGTAAAGTGAGTCAGGGAGGATGTTTTAGGGGACAGCTGTGGCTTCCTAGAGGAAAGAGGACAGGTGGGAAAGAGCGGAGGGGCAATGTCGAGGAGTCACACCAAGTGGCGCAGTTGGGGACGCCTGACATTGGTGTCAGACAGAGCTGGGCCAGAGTTTAATCCCCCACTTACCAGCTACACAAACTTGCAAAGTTACTTAACCTTTCTCATTATCATTAATAAAAGAATAACAAAACCAATAAGACCTACTCTGCAACACTATTGCCATATACAAAGTCAAGAATTTGTAACAGCTGTTACAGTATTATTTATTTTAGACAATTGAAGTTATACCTTGTCGGAGAGTTGTATGTTCCTCACCAGGGCAGCCTTAAATTAAGCATGAGAGCTTTTAGTGTTGGGCCCTTGAAAATTCAGCACCCTCCGTGAAGAAGGTCTGCCATGCAAATATGACTGAGCCTCAGGGTTTTGTCCTTGACCTTTCAGTCACCATGGTTAACCAACTCTCCTCAGATGATATTAACTGGTCTGATCTATCATGATGCAAGTTTAGCTACCCAAACAAACACCTGGGAGTCGTCCATGCCTCCTGCTCATCCCTCACTAACCTTCTTGTCTTTCCAAACAAAACGGTCAATTCTTCTGTCAATTCTACTTCCTTGAGAGCTTTGGTATTTCCTCACCATTCTACATCCTCACAGTTAGTGGTTTAGCTCACATCCTTGTCACCAATCCTATCAGGGACATCAGATCTCTCCTGGGCTCCATCCTGCCCTGCTGCACCTCATTCCTCACACTGTGGGAAGAGCAGTCTTCCTCCACAACAAGCTGGCCACGCCACCCTCCTTCAGTGGTGCTCCACCACCATTAGGAGAAAGTTCAAACTTTACTGTGATAAACAAGAAACCCATGGTCTTGTCCCTTTCCGGGTCAAAATGATCTTTCACACGTGCACATATGCACACACGTAGCTTACTAACCTACTTTCACTTCCTATTATTTCCTTTCCCATCCCTCCCTTTCCTCTTGCTACTTCTCAGACTAAAACACTCTTCATTATCTTTCTTAACCTGGCCAACACATGCAGGCATCCTTCAGAACTCAGCAAGGATGTCACCTGCTCCAGTGGGAACTGTTCCTAACACCACCCTTTCTTCATTGATGTGGGATTCTTGTCTACTTTGTATAGATTCTACTGAATCGAGTGTTGGTTTGCCCGCCTTCTCCCTCATCTCCACTAATCTCTTTATCCCCCAAGGGCAGAGGCCTCGTCTTCATCTTTGTATCTCTGGGACAAGTGTACGAATGGAGTATGGAGAGGACTCCTAATTGATGGGTGCACAGATGGCTGAGTGGTCGGTAGCATGGCTGAGTGCTGAGGGTCCAGAGACAGATGTGTCTACTTGAGAGCCCTCAGCTGAGGTGTTGTTTGACACCATGAGAGTCCGTGTATGAGGAGAATTATGGAAAAAAAGAAAGAAGACGGAGTTTAGAGTTTTGAAGGATGACGTAGAGCAATGGGAGAATCAGCCATTGGCAAATGGCATAAAAAGAAGGGAGGGAGGGGCCAGAATGGTTGCTACATGCGACCGACCATGGCGTGAGAAGGTGCAGGCCTCTACAACACAGAGGACATTTTAAGAAAGGTGCATACTCTTGACCCGTCTGCCTACTGAAGTGATAACTGTGAGAGTAAGAACAGAATCAATCAAAATATTACCCATGGGAATGGTTAAGTAAATTATGATGTATCCACATCATAGAATATTATTTAGCCTGTTCATATGCTACAATTGCTAATAATGTGTCAGCATGTTAAAAACTTGCTTATAGCACAATGTTCAAAAGACAGCCAGGAAAATCAAGGCAGCGCGGTGTTACGGAAATCAGGAAGAGAAAGACTGCGGGGGGTGGAAGGCAGCCCAGTAATGAGACAGGGAGGTCCAGGGGGGCAAAGGAGGGTGGGATGGGTAATTAGGCTGCAAGGACTTGGGTGTCCCTACTCCAGACTGACCTCCTTCTGTTTCTCAGTAGTTCCCTGCGTGTCCGTATCCGCCCCCTCCCTGGAGCTGGAGCGTAGGCCTCCTGTGGGTAATCACTTGTCACATTCGTGCCCAGCACGGTGGCCGGCACAACAGTCGGGCCTCTTTCCATGGTGCCATAATGTCTTTTGTATCATCGAGGTCACTGACATCTTTACTAGTTCTCTCTCACTCCCTGTTTCTGAGACGGGGTTATCATTGCCCTCATCTCACAAAATCACAGAAGGGTTCAGTGATTTATTTCCCTTAGTCACAGAGCAAAGCATTGTCCCCACCAGAGTCAGGATCCTGGCCTCCACCCTGGACTCCACACCACCCTGATCAGAGTCCTGGCCTGTGTCTTGTCCATTGAGCTGCTCTGTTTATCTGCGTATTAACAGTAAGGGTGGTTAATTGTCTGATGTTCGTGCAATGACTGTGGTCTCTGTACTTCCCTATATGTGTTAATTATGCTATTGCCGGTTGTCTGTGCCCCTAGAGTGCAGAAGCTGTGGCTTTTTAGAAAACATTTTCTGTAGTGCCAAGCTGAGTGTCATGCCCTTAATCGATTGCCTGAGGATGATGATGCCTCTGGTAAGGACAGTGGAGACGACTCCTTTTATTTATTGCTCTTTTTTCACAGTTCCTGCTGGCCCTTTATAAGCCAGTCTTAGGACCAGAGGCTGTGGATCGAGCAATGGAGAAGCGCCCTGCTGTCCCCCCGCTATACAAAGGGGACAGGAGATATACACTGCTGGTCCTCAGTAAGAGGACCCAGATGGGTAGCTGAATGAAAGGGCATTCCAAAATCATAGGACATTGAATAGAGGGTGAAAAAGTAGGACTCCTGGGAGGAAATTCTCTTCAATGGATAGATAAGACAGGGGGACAGAGCACTGGATGGGCAAAAGTGTCCATGAGCCCACGGTTCCCATCTTCCCACTCCACTGAGGGGGATGCCAAGGCAAGGGCAGAGTGAGTGAGCACCTCACAGTCCATGGTGGCAGAGCCCGACTGGCATCTGCACTCTGCTCTATCTCGGGTTCAAATCTGACCCCCATCCTGTGCTGGGCTGTAGAGCACCCAGACAGCAAACAGGTACGTCTCCCATGCTCAAGAAGTAGCCTAGCCTTTTCCAAGGACTGAGGAAGAAGATTCAGTTTCCCCACTGAGTCAACTGAGTTCACAAAATCAGTTTACTCATAGGCACTCCTCTCAACCGAACCTCATCCTCTAACATCATAGCAAAGTTCCCAGTCTGAGAATTAAATAATTAAAAGCTACCAAGAATGAAAAAGACTTGCAAACGTAGAAATAACCATGGCAGGAGAGTTGTGTTTCCAAACAGTTGGGAGGATAAAACAGGTCTCCTGTGACATTTGGCACAGGGCACAGCCACTTTTACCTTTGTGCTAAATTCCAAATTTGGTTCTCCGGGATCAAATTCAGATTCACTTTCTCTCTTACTGTGGAGTTGGGTCATTGGTATCTCCCTGTCTGTGGTCTCTTGGCATGCATCTCTCGTAAGCCACCTGCAGTAACATGACGGACTGGAGTCTTTAGAGGAGTGCTGAAACCCAAAATGCAGACGTTGCCTGGCATTTGAAGTAGTGCTATTCTTAAGCAGAGTATTGCTTTACTACCTCCAAAGAAATCCAAATTCCTCTTTTGAACAAAATTTAAACTTCTCAGGATCATCAGGATAAAGAGATGCCAAGGAACCACTTCCTGTATAGCTCTGCATGGTGCCAACATAATGGCCACATATTGAAACCAATCTTCAAATAAAAGGTGTGACTTTTGCAAGTTATCATGCTCCTCATTGGCAGTATATGACTACCTGAAAAGCCAATCAAAATGTGCATAGTTTTTTCTAATCACAACATGTGAAATCTAAAAACACTTACCCATATAGATGCTTGGTGTTGGCTAGATGCAACTTGTATTTCTATATTGTATGTTTTTCTACTCACACACACTTGAGTATGTAAATAGCTGAGAGAGAGAAAGAGAGAGAGTGAGGGAGGATATTCCTGGGGTGCCATGGACCATCTAATTTTTTTCCCTCCTGGAATCCAAGAGTTCCCCCTTGACTCGCTGGCATCCCATTCTCTGCTGCGGCAGGTTCCTAGGTCTCCAAATGATTTCGGTGTGGGTGGTAGACATCAGCTGCTTTGTGAGCAGTCACGACAGCCCCAGGCCTGCCTGTATTGTATTGCCAAGCAACACTTGGCAACCTCCTGCCCGTGGTGTTACTTCCTATTGATGCTTCACAGTAGCATGGTCATGCCTCTCTCCCAAGTCTTGTGGCTTTGTTTGCTGCATTGGGGTGTTGGCATGGCTAAAAGCCATCCCAGAGAGGATGTTCATTGAACTGTCAGAGGGTGAATGATTGACACTGGGAACAAGTGCTTTGTGTAAGGGCTTTGGCAGGTCATTATTGGATTATTTCCCAATAAACACCATCCAAATCTACCTGATGCACCACTGAGAAACATGCCAACCTGTTTTGGAGCCCTAGAAGACACTCAGTGATTCTCACTGGTGGCTGCTGGCTTGTCCAGTCTATTGCTTTGTGAGGCTCCAGGGCATTGAATAAAAACAGTGACTTTTGTACTTGTCATAATTAGGAGAGCATGGTGTTATTTTCCATATGAAAAAAGCTCAGGTTCAGTTGTCTGTTCTTCAGGCACCTCAAATACTGATATGGATTCTATTCATACAAGCTGTGTCCTTTTAAAACCAGGAAAGCACCCAGCAAGCATCAAATAACCCCCAAAAGTATTTTTAATGGATATGATGTGTTAATGCAAACACATGACATTAAAATATCATAAGCCAGGCCTGTAGCTCTTGGCATGCTTTATAGAATAACCCAATGATGGTTTCAATTGTATGATGTGATTTTTGATACATTTAAATGATAACATGGAAAAAATATTCTTTCCATTTGATTTGGGGACTGAGTGGCTGTACACATGCACTTACTTACCAGTTGACCTCAATTAAATTGCTGGGCCTCTCTGAACCTCAGTTTCCTTTTTGATATACTGGGGGTTTTAATATCTGCATGCCATAGGATTCCTATGGGAATCAAAAGGGATAACATAAGAGAATGCATTTTATAACACACTATAGGAATTTAACAGATATTTATCATTACCATCTTATTTCCAAGCAGGTATTTCTGATTCTAATAGAAAAATATATTTTTTCTTAAATATCACTGTCATAATAAAAACTGACATCCCTCTGAAACCTAAGAAAAAAGTTGGCAGGTGATCCTAAAGTTGAAAAGCTGGAGTTTAGTCCTCCAAAGTGCATGTTGAGCTTGTTTTTGTTTTGAGTAGAGTAATGTAAAAAAAAAAAAATCAAATATCACACTACCATTTTCTGTTATATATTATTTCATTTTATTTCCCCCCAGCTTTATTAAAGTTTAATTGACACATATATATTAGGGCATACAATGTGATGTTTTGATCTATGTATATAGCATGAATGTTCCATATCACAATCATGCATCTCTTAACAGCAAGGATACCTCTAAGAAACAGGTTGTCAGACAATTTCATCATTGTGTGAACATCACAGAGCTCCTAGATGGAATAGCCTACTACACACCTGAGCTATATGTTGTAGCCTGTTGCTCTTACCAAGTATTGTATATGAGGTCTGTCATTGACTGAAACATCTTTATGAGGCACATGACTGTATTTTAACAAGTGCTAGTTTCCCAGGGTCTATATTTTTCTTCCTTCCCCATTAATGGTAAGCATTGGGAGACTACACCAGTGCTTTTGAGTCACTGAACTGTCAGAACATTCCTTGCTAATATACATGCCTTGGGATTATCTCTTCATACACATAAGCCAATTAGTGAATTAAATGAATGGAAGGTGATGAACAGAGTGCTTTTCCCTTTTCCTCTTCTTTTTTTCTTTTATTTTCTGTCCTTTTTCTTTTCTTTCCTTTTCTGTTTTCTTTTGATGTTTATAATTACAAATATTTCATTTTAGTGAATGACATGATTTTTTTTAAACCATTATTTAGCATCACTTAGAAATAAGCTTTGGATTATGAGACGTTTACCAGTTGAATCCTTGGAGTGGCACATGCTTGGCACTTTTGGAGATGCGCTTCCTCACTAGGTCCAGGTGTTCCCTTTTCCTATGTGATTAAATGAAACCAATTTCTGGTAGATAAGATACAGTGATAATTTATGTACCTTCAAAAATGTTAAGGATAAGAAAACTATTTTATTAAGGTATCTATTCCAACAATAGACAATACAATTTACACTATACTCATTTATTAGGGCATTTTGACATTTGCCAAGTGTATACTATGCTCTTGTGTGCTAGGCAATGTGCTAATACCAAGGCCAACAGTAGGGGGAGGTAGCAAGGCCCCGAGAGTGAGCAGTTAAAGAGACACTCAACAAGCCTCAGACATGTCTCCTGGAATTTTGCGCCCTGGGCACCTCACTCACCTCACCTTAGTCCCAGCCAGGTTAGCACCTAAACAGAAAGATGAAAAGACATGGAGTGCCCCTCCAGGGATCATGCAGAAAAGGGGACAGACACTAATGAATATAATTCACACAAAGAAACAAGAGAAGTAATGAGTAGGCATAAAGTATTGTGCTTGGTGAAATACTAGTATCGACAAATTTAAACGTGAATGAGGTAGGGTGGTATGGAAACCAACTACGAGATTATGTGATCTGAAATAAAATGGGGAAAGTCAGGAGAATGAAAGCAGCATCATGCTGCCAAACATTCAGGTTGAGTGGATAAAGTGGGGTGTACGCTGGGGAGGAGGGGTGGTGCCATCCCCAAGAGACGGATGGTGACCCTTGCAAATCAGTCCTTGCCACCTCCAGGGAGACCTGCTGCCCGGCTGTTACTGCTGATCTCCAGGCTTGTTATGACATCACAAAGCACTTTCACCAAAGGTAAAAGTCCGCCCCGTGATTCCTTTGGCCCCCCAGCACTGTATCCGGCACCCCTGAAAATTATCCTTCTGTTTTTTGTAATGGGAAAGTAGAAATATAAGAGAACAATGCTAGATTTCCTTTATTAAAAATATGAGCGATAAAGAAAGGAGCATTGTGTTTATTATTGTGGCTATTTCCAAAGAGGTAACTAAAATTTTATGGCGGCCTTGTTAGCAACTCTATAAATCACTCGACAGCATCTCTGTTTTAAAATCTCTTCTGCATATAAGCAGTAAAATGAAGCACACATCGGAAATTCTGATGATTTCAAACTTCAGACTTTCTTTTAAAGTAATAACTTTAATTCAGTTCTTTCTGGCATAAACTTTTTCATCCCATTATGTCAAAAATTGTATTATCCATCCATTTGTCTGTCAGAACGTCTCCCTGCGGGGCGATAGACTCCTGGCTTCTCTACTCTAAACCTCCCCATTACATTCTGCTATCAAGAGTCACAATTTTCCACGAAAGTCTCTGGTGACTTTTGACAATGTTTTACAGAGAACTAGACCAGGAATCGCAGAGTTAAAGGAAATCTTCCATTCTGGCAATGAATATGTAATAGGCATTACACTGTGCAGTATTCCAAAAAATGTAAGGTTCATTAAGTCTTTCTAAAGCAGGGACTTCCGTGTAGCTTTGAAGGAACCTGTCTTCACAATGGCATTAGCAAATGGCACTTTGGGGCACAGAATATTAATATTGCACATTAAGGAACAAATTTGTTTAAATGCTATATAGCTATATGTAGATGCTGATGATCCAGAAATAAATAAAAAGTGAATAGTTGTCCAACTTTGTATGTAAATTGCCTTTTGCTTATATACATAAGAATGCTTTTTCCTCCTAAATTCCTTCATATTAACAAGCAGGAGTGTAACTAATATATAAACTAAAGTCATTCTCTTTAATGAGAATGCTAAATATTTTAAAGAAATGCACGGCTGTGAAATATTGTCAAGGGCATTTTTATACTTAAGTTTAAGAACGCTTATGACTTAACTGTTGAATTATTTAACATATTCAGCCTGGAAGCACTATTTATGTATGTTTTTTAATGTTCTTACTTATGTTGGCTTTTCTTTGCTAAGGATTTAGGACCTTTGATTTCTGTTTATAAAATTTACATTTTTAATCTCCTATTTCTATGTATTTCCCATTTGACAGCGGCAACAATATCCAGAAGGAAGGGGGAAAAAAGGAAAAATCTCATGGAGCCTAAAATGAGGACTTATACATGAAAGAAATTTAAGTCACACCGCTAAGAAAATGAAGCCAACTTTGGGAGCCAAAAATAAAAGTCCTGTTCAATGAGCCACCTGTATAACTAAAATAATAGATACAGAAATATGCACCTGGTTTCCAGGCTTTTCCCCAGGAAGCATGCAATAGACAGGGAGCTGAGTTGTCCTGTGCAGTAATATAATCCCATACAATCAACATTTGCTACTTTGAGTTGTCAGCTTCTATTTTTCACCTATGTATTGTTTTGCAATTACTGCCTAGCCACAGATTCATCAGTGCAACATAAAACCACATTTTCTCTCATTTTTCTTCAATTAACCTCGATGTGTATTTCTTAAATACAGAAGGATTCTTCAAAGATTTGAGAGGGATGCTGAGTGGAACCCCCATCAATGTTAGTCAGGAAATGGAAACTGACAATCAAAGGTAGCGTGAGGGCAGATTTTATTTGAGCCATTCCCATTAAATTCTACTCACGTGGTTAACAATATAAAAATTGTCCAAGTAACTTGGGATGGAAATGCACCTAGAATTTGCTTGAAGCCTTAGTGATTCCATAAGAACTACATTTAGGGGAAAGAACAGGCAATTTTTAAGATGTATTCCTTTGACTACTGGTGTTTCACTTTACAAACTATAAACACACATGCAGGTATATATGTGTGTGTGTGTGTGTGTGTGTGTGTGTGTGTATATATATATATATATATATATATATATATTCCAATAGAACCAACGTTACTGAGCCAAAATCTTTCTTCTACACTAAGTCTAAAAGTCACAATAATGAGGCCTCTGAGGGACCAGGCCTCAGCCATGCAGTCAGGGGAGGAAGTGAAGGTTTCCATGGCTTATTTAAACCATTAGAGGTCTTCCAGACATTGATTTTCGTTTTCCTTTAGTCCACTGTTCCCTAATATGTGTTCTATGTGGGTTATTAAGTTTACTTTGAAAAAGGGTACTCTGATTAAAGATGCTTTGGAAATTCTGGATTAAACAAAATTCAGTAAGATTTTTCAGAGCCTTAAATATATAACAGTGCTTTATAACTCCTCTAGCGAGAAGGGTAATAACTACCATTTTCTAAACACTTTGACCAGGAATCTCTTTTTTATTATTATTTTTCCAGAGCAGCTCCAGGCTAGTGTTCCACAGAGTACACTTTGGGAAACAATGATTTTGTCAATAAATACTGACCCCAGGCTATGGAACAAGAGACCTTGCCACATTTATGTTTATGTCCCTAATCATTACAGTGTCTATCATAAACACCTGCTCAATAAACAGATATTGCATGAATGAATAAATAAACAAAACAATCTAATGATTTATACCTAAATGAATGTATGTAGATGATTATATCATTTTTATATTTATTTCATATTCTAAGGACAAATTAATATACTGTTTAGAGAAATATGGTGCCAGTTAGCATCCCTGTCATCCAATCTCTCTAAAATTCCATTCAAGGGAAGAAACTAAAGGAAAAGAAGTAATTTAATTGCATGAAAGATTAAAGAGATCAAATTTCATTTGCTTATATTTAATGACCATGCACAGACTCACCATTAGCAGGTGTGAGGAGGAGTTGGACTATTAATAATTTTTTTCCTTTGTATTTTCTACTCACCTCTCCAAAACACATGTACATAAAATATACACATAACATCAACTCCATCACAGAAAGGCAAAACAAAGGGGTCTGGCTAAGGTTAAGAGTTTTATAATTTCCTGGATTACAGAGATTCACTCTGTGTAAAGCTAACTGGCCTTGAAAGGCCTGCATGCCTTCCTTGGATGCCTCACGTAGATATAGATCAGATATTGTTACCATATTCTACAATTGTCATTCTTCATCATTTCTGAAGTTTCAAGACCTACGTTTTTCTTACATATTCTTATATGGCTTGTATTTATAAAATATATCAACTTAAATCAATTTTGTTTGGGATGTACACTAAGAATCCTGAGATAGCTGAAGGTATCTGGGAATAGCATTGGCCAGAATTATAAATGAATGAATGTACTAGTAAACAAATGAATAACTAAAGTCACTAACTAGCTACAAACCAAGGGCACAAGGATATTTAAGTAAATAGGGACATTTCTTTGTAATTATTGCAATTTTCCCTCAAATGTAAAGGAGATGCCCTAGGTGGAGGTTCCTGAGCTGCCCTTCTGGCTTTGACCCTGCTTCCAAAATTCTATTTCTTTAAGGGGAGAAAAAAAAGAAGTTATCAGAGATGAAAAATCCCTTGACTCTTCCAGAGGCATGCAGGACAAAAACAGCCCTCCCACTTCATGTGAGTACAAAGAGCAATTTGAACATGGAAATGCAGAGGGTGAAACATGCAGTTGGACCACAGAGCATTTCCCACCATCATCCCAGAATGCAATAAGCTGACTAAATAACTGACCTAGAATGGGCCTGCAGTCACCAGTAAGTTAAGCATCAAGGTTCCAGCAGAGTTGCCAGGGCTAGAAAGATCAAGCAGATATTTTATTGGAGTTAGGCCTACGGTTGAATGTAGGAGGTTAGGTAAGGCATGAAAAGCCCCCTAAGTAAATGGACCCAGACTCTGGGCACACTCAAAAGAAGCATAAAAAACTATTCTAACAAGGAAGAGTCAGCAAGGTGAGTTCTGATATGAGAGCAGGAACTTCACCTTCCCGTCCACTAGGCTGTAAGCAAGCTGAGAGCAGAAAGGGGCTCAGGCAGTTAAGTCTCCCCACCAAGTAACTCAGAGTCTGCCCTCGGTGGTAACTCAATAACTGTTGGAGAACTGAATTAAGTTTCTTTTTGTTTAATTTCTCACTCTGATGCTGGTTAAGGCAGAAGTGGAGAAGCTGTAATTACCTTGTGCCCTTTGGGCTTCTCCAGCTAAAGAAAAATCTCAGTATTCAAAGACTAAATAGAGAGAAGGCCACGGTAACGGTCCTGAAAATAGGCCTATAGCTACTGCAATAACCTCCTTCCCTTGACTCTTCTCATTAGCTGGGATCTAGTCACTATCGCAATTTATTCTTTTTTCTAAAACCCAGAGTTCTCTATTACCCAGTAAGTCAATTCAACCTACCTACAGGCCAGTGGCATTCATAATGGTGCCACTGAGATACCCTGTGATTCTAAGGAGCTTTTGGAATTGAGAAATTATCAAAAATAACCTTGTTTTAGCCTCAGTGTTGCATGCTTTCCTGGTAGTAGCGGGGTCAACTGGTGATGGGATGGATTTATTCCAAGAGGACCAAAAGCTCACAACTGGTTAAGCCAGTGGCTTCAGGCAACTGTTCAGGTAAGAGGGAAAATGCAGCCAGGGAGACATCAAACATCATCAAGTGCATACAGTGGGGCGGCCGCACAAAGTTATTTACCATGCAGCGCCTGGCAGCCAACGAAAGGTAGAAACTAGCTGGTGGTAGGTTGGTGTCAGGGGTTCAGCAGGGTACACAGAGGGACAGCCCAGCAGTTACGTGAAATGCAATGATTCTGGCAGCAAACAATAAAACACGATCCAACAAGGAGGTCATTATTAACAAGGATTCTTGCAGCAAGAAGTGAAATGCAGACATCAGTCTCCAATAGGGCTAGAAAAGTCCATTTAGGCTGGACTGAGGGAGGTTGAGGGAGGCAAAAAAATGGTACTAA